AACCAAATTTTGAATCCACTTGTTTCAGTTCAAATAACTTTATAACTTTGTGTTGAATTCAAACTCTGTTTTTAATGTTTTCTTCTTCGTTCAGCTCTGCGGAGTCTCTGTTTCCAGCCCAAACACAATGGTATTTCCCACCAGAGGAGAGCGCCCCCTGCTGGTCACATTGGCACATCAGCTTCCCAAAAAAAAAATTAAAAAGTAAGAAGGTTGTTTAGCTTAAAGATTTTGGTTGTTTTACGGCAGCACCAGTGACACGTTGAAGCCAGAGAGTTAATGTGTTGTGTCCGTTAAAGAAGAAGAAAAAAAATTCTTCTTTTTCTACGTTCCCTTTAAATTCTGTTGTTTTTTAAATGTGTAAGTTAAAAGTGTTTTGGCTCTAAAATCATTGACGATCTTTTTTCAACCTCCCACAAAAAATAAATTGCAGTGAAATTTCCCAGATTTGCTCAGAAGAGGGCAGTGTTGCTCTCCGCTGAAGGAAACACGCTGTCGTCTGTCCGACAGTTTCGATAATCACAACCTGCAGCGGACGAACAGAACAGATTCTTTTGACTCACTTTGTTTCTTTCGGATTCAAATTTTCTCACCGAAACATTTGACCTCAGCTTCGACAGAACGTCAGAAACTGAAACTGAGGTCGTCAATAATAATACGTTTCATTTTCATTCTGTTTTGGTTCAAGTGTCTGAAAAGAATTCGTAAATGTTGGCTCTCTGATTATTGTTTGAAAGTCTGGAGGGAGAAACATCATTTTATCATGTTTAAAGTTTTTTTAAGTTAATTCACGTTGTTCGAACAGAAAGTTTTTCGTTTGTCGGAACGTGTTCGTCAACGTTTCGAGTCGTTTGTCTGACTGTTCGTCCAAACCACAGAAAACTTCAGCCGAGACTCTTTGCATAGTTTGTTCATTTCACACCATGAACGTATAAACAGCTGGATACGTTAGCTAGCCCCACACAGTGGCCACGTATGGTACTGCAACTGAAACATTTCAGACGTCCACTGTAAAAGAGACGTTTTTAAATATAATACATTCTGTGTTATTGTCCAGTTCTTATAATACGTCCATGGTTTACAGCATAAGTCACCTGTCAGTCAGCTGACATCCCCGTGACATCCCCGTGACATCACTGTGACATCACTCAGTGTTAGAGACAGACTGATGACGGCTTCACTCATATTTAATATTTCATCATTTAAGTTTTAGGGATCCTTGCAACAT